AGAAGTCTAAATAAAGGTAGCATAAATGTAATTAGATTAATTACATCAATACAACTAAAATCTGATTAATTTGACAATTAAATATATTGTTTAATATCAGAATAGATTAGCTGGCATTTAAAGATTTACAATAAGATCCTAAAAGATCTTGTGGGAGGAAAGAGGCAGGGATGCTCATAGTACTACCTAAACATAAAGATTCTTTTTTCTAGGATTTCCTTAATCTATAATAGAGAAAAGGGCATGGGAATTCTTAACTAAGAGACAAGAATATGTGGAAAGAAGGGGTCCTTCAGTTATCTGAGATCAGATTATACATCGATATAAAAAGCCAAAATACTCTTTATGACTGTTTGGGTTTTCAACACTAACAAACATTTGTTTTACCCAAATACAGGACTAGGCAACCCTTTGCTCTCCAGATGTTTAGGACCTAAACTTTTAATTGGCCCAGAAAACATAGACGAATATAGGGAATTATAAAACACTGTGAGGCAGGCACCAGTAAGGCTCAAGTTCATGATTACAAGCTATATCTTATTGTGAATCCATAGATAGTTATCAATCACTGAACAGATGAAACATTTACAGCATTTCTTGTTCCTCTAATTCATCTCTCGAAAGCTTCCCCTGATTACTTGTTAATAATCATTGCAAAGAACCATTACATTCTCTACATTCCTGCTTTGGCAATAATCACTTGTAATTGAAGTGATTGGATCCGATAGTAATTTTATTAGCCTGCTGCACTGTCTTCTTTACTCTTTCAGCACATTCAAAAAAGTTGAATTTAACATTGTGTGCATTCTATTAAATTAAGATTTTCAAAGCTGGACAAAATGTCAGGTCATGTAAGTAAACAAATGAACCATTAGTACTGAATACCAAAACCAAAAATTATTATTATTCATGTGACCGATCCTAAGTTGCGCCCTGGTATGCACTCATATGGGGAAATGTAGGGATAACACACATTCTGGGCTGGATTCTGAATTAGCCATAATTAGCATAGGGCTATAAAAAATTAATTCAAATAGGATTAAATCTGTATCTGCACCAATATTACTCATGTGACCGATCCTAAGTTGTGCCCTGGTAGTTTGCTGCTTTTAAACAACAAACAAGCAGCTGGGCTAGATTAATAGAAAGTTAAACACAGGGAGTGACATTGTTCCTACGTAGCCCATATTCTCTGGAACAGCCCACAGGAGAGCTGACACACTCTGTATCCTCTGCACAGCTCAAATCTGCTGGTGACGTCGGCTGCAAGGCCAGTTGCAGGAAATGCAGAATATAGTTCAAGTTACCACTCGTCACACTAGAGGAACTCATTATTTCTGCAAAATTACAAAAGGCCGGGAAAAAGAGTCCGACCGTTGCTGTTGGCTAATTTTTGTTTGCATAGGATAAATTTTATAGATACTTCGTAGTTCTTGTAATGCATTTTGTATATATTATAAATTCACATAATGTAAGCCTTACAAAATTAAAATACTGATACTTTGCTTATTCCCACAAATTTACCTGTCCTATTTCTTACACCAGAACTTATCAAAATGTTTAATGGGCTAACTTATTATACAACATTTCCCCCACCCCCAATATTGTCATTAACCTTTTAGTAAGGTTCACTGAAAGTAATCGTACTAAGTAATATTTAGTGGAAGCAGTAAGCCAACTACTTCCTGTGTGATAAGAAAGCATAATCACACCACTCACTTGGACCTTCATCAGGTCAACAAGGATCTTGGTTGTCGGGCTGCTTTTCAGACTATGTATCACTTCAGACTATGTATCACATGCAGTCTTGGTTTCAGAGGCAAAGCAAAATTAAAAATGACCAGATGCTCAAAATGAGCCCATGGTTTTGCCTCCTTGCACATAACTGTAATGTCCTGAGATCAATTAGTGATGAAGAACAAAATGAAAAGACCTCTTTGCCCAAATATGACACAGCAACAAAAAATATGACACAGGAATGAAAGGCTAATGGCTAATGCTAAATAAAAGAATTGTTTCAGGATATGAGCATGAGAGGCATTCAGCCTGTGTTAAGCCATTCATCTTATGTAGCCTTGGATTGCAAATTATGCTTTCTTCATCTAGCTATCATGATGCAAGGAAAGGGCTCTGCTGTTAAAGCTAAAAAAAACTAGCCTTGAACATCACACAAAAAGTATTATGGTGATACTGAAGCCTTAAATAAGTTAAAAATAATTGTGCATAATTTTTAAACAGGCAAACTAATTTGAAGTAGGAACACGGATACACACTATAAATTTAACACTCTAACTACAAAAATGTTCTAGGGTTCACTTAAAAGACCCCCTTCCCCGACAGCCTGGGAACTTCTTACTCCATAAGTTGTGGATTTAGAACTGTTATTGTTGGCTATATTTACTGGGAAAGCTGGGAATTGAAGTTCAGGTACAGGTTTTTCACCCAACCTTAGAATAATGATACAGATACAGATAATCAGAGTTGGAAGGGACCTTGTAGGTCATCTAATCCAACCCTCTGCCCAAGCGGGAGACCCTACACCATTTCTGACAAATGGCAGTCTAATCTCTTTTTGAAAGTCTCAAGTGATGGTGCTCCTACAACTTCCGAGGGCAAGCTGTTCCATTGGTTGATTGTTCTCACTGTCAGATGCTTCTCTGTCCTCAGAAGAATAATTCAGCAAGAAAACTGGGCCACCTGGAAGCCTTTCCAGAAGAGAAGGAAATTCCATCTTGGAATCACAATCCAAATGGAATGACTTCCATTATCCTAGGCTAGTAAGTAAGTTCTGCTCAATGCACCAAAGCAAGATAAAGATTTTTGGAAACCCAACATTTTGGGCCCAGATACAGGTAATCCTTGATTTACAACAATTTTTTAGTGATCATTTGAAGTTACAACAGCACCAAAAAAAGTGACTTCTCATCATTTTTCACACTTAACTGATGCCACATGATCAAAATTTGGGACCAGCAACCAACTTGCAATGTGATCACCATTTGTAGCCTTCCCAGCTGCTTCCAGCAAGCAAAGTCAATGAGAGAAGCCAGGTTCACCTTACGACCACATGAGTCACTTAACAACTGCAGCAATTCACTTAACAACTGTGAGAAAAAAAGGTTGTAAAATGAGGCACAACTTAACAACTGCCCCGCTTAGCAATGGAAATTTTTACAAAAGTTTTGTTTGTAAGTGGAGGACTACCTGTAAAGGATTTAAGATCAATTACCCAAATAAAGCAGACTTTAGTGCAAAGATCATATATCACTGTGGTAATCAAATATACACAGGTAGATCAGCTGCAAAGAATTTCTATATATTTAGAACTATTGACATCACAAGTCCATCTCTGTAAAAAATTTTAGTATTATCAAAACACTGTTTTGGTATTTTTGGTATTTTTTCCAAAGCACTTCTGCTTGGTGGGCATATAGGATGAATACTATGCAGTAACTTTCTAATCCTGTACAGCAGGGGTGTCAAACTCAAGGCCCATGGACGGAATCCGGCCCATGGGGTGCTTAATTCTGGCCCACAGGGCTGCCCTGGAAACAGCGAAGGACCAGCCTGCGGTGCCTCTGCCAGCTAAAATGGAGCTCAGGAGGTTGCAACTCCTCCTGCCGCCACCCTCCCAAGATCCATTTTCACCAGCCGAGGGTTTCAGGAGGCCGTCGCAGACTCCCGAGCTCTGTTTTTGCTGGCAGAGTGTCAGGCCATCACAGATGCCCCTGACATGAGTGATGTCAAGGTGGCCATGCTCACCCTGGTCATGCCCACCCAGCCTCCAAGGTCAAACACATGATGATGAAGCCCTCAATGAAATTGAGTTTGACACCCCTGCTGCACAGCATCACATCTCAATGCACAGTGTGTTCCTGTGGAATAAGCCAGATGGGTATGAAAAGTCCCTTGTGTGCTATCATTTGCATTTAGGACTTATAGGAGGTAACTGCCCCAAGTCATGGTACAACACAGTATAAGGAATGAGCCTTTCTACTGCTTACAGTCTGATAACTAGCAACTCTGCAGCTTTGGAGAAATACATATTTCAAACTATTGTGTGGTTATTCAGAGTTGATCACCTGTTTATGTGCAACTGAAAACAGGCAAGGAAAAAGCCCTAATATATATATATTTGGTCCATATGTCTTCCTATTGCCTGAGAGCAAAAGAAAACATTAAGAAAACATTGCAAAGTAAATGTTGTTCCTTTATAGCTCTTATTAGGAAATCGCTGGACTGAGATAAACATGTAACTGGTTTAATTGTTTTACAGAAATACAGTTGGGGGGACCAATAAAACCAAAAGATAAGTAGAATAGCAAGAACAGGAGGGTAAGAGTGCTATAAGATGTACAAGTAAGCCAGATGTTATAATATTAGAAAACAATATTGTTGTTCTTGTTTCAGACAGTGCCAGTCAAGTTGGAAAAGAATTTTTTTGTAGAATTAAACAAATGCATATTGAAATTTATATGGCAGAGGAAAAAACCCAGAGTGAATGCCAAGAAATGCCAAGAAAAAAGGAGGATTTGGCCTTCCAGATTTTGAGTTATATTATGATACTGCTATAGTAAACTGGCTTAAGGATTGGGTTAAATTAGAAAATAGAAGGTTATTAGTATTAGAAGGTTTTGATCTCCAACTTGGCTGGCACGCCTTCATGTGGGATGGAAAATCTAAAGAACATTCATATTTCCAAAGGCACCATGTAAGAAATGTGTTGTTCAATATCTGGGGAAAGATTGAAAAAAACCACTACCCAAAGGTTCCCTTGTGGCTATCTACATTGGAAGCAGTCACGCATCCAAATGTATTGGATTATGAAAATATTGTCAGGATCAGAAGCAGTGCTTATAAGTGATGTGGAACAGGTGGCTGTGTTGTTATATACAAGCCTTTATCTTACTGAAAGAAAATTATGTTTCTTTGCTGGCTTCATATAAGAGAGCAGACACAGGAAAAGAGATTTCCATATTTAGCCTTCAACTTGGGCTTACCTGGATCACTAGTTTATTTTCTTTATTTGGTAGAATCCTGTAGGTATATACGCAGTTCTGATACCTGGAATACATGAGGAGAAAACCTTAAAATAGTTATCAAAAAAAAATCATCTTGGGAAACCATCCAATATTCCCAACAGTCTTCAGAGTTGTTTGTAAGATTTGCATGTACCCTAGTTTTCCATATGAAAGGGTTTCTGTCAGTTCTCAGACAGTATACTTTTAGTTCTGTCTTGCCAATAGCAGTCTACTGCTAAAGCCTTTTGTCCTTTAAAAACCTCTTTTTGTTAAAAAAAAAAAGTCTTGTCAACCACCTTTCTTTAGTAAGATAAGCTAAAGTAGTACAGATTTTTTTCAGTATTTTTAATAAGATAAGATAGAGTATTTCAGTACAGTATTGTAGTATTTTGATCTGAAAAGATTTCAATCTTGATATTTACTTCATTTTTCCTTACATACTTGAATGAATTTCAAGCTTGTTTTTTTTTAAAAAAATAAATCAAAATATTTTTAGTATCAGAAAGTACACACAAAGTAATAAACAGCATTTCTGGACGTGTGTATGCTGCTTTTTTTCATTTCTGACCACAAAATATTTTTCATTTTTTTTAAAAGCAGTTTTCAAATTAAACAATCAAAGGGTGCTTGGAAAACTGTTGTGGTGAAAATCAGCTGACAAAGCCATTTTTCATTCAGCTATAAAGGAAGAGAAAGTAGCTACTGCTGGTTGTATATACACAGCCTGGGTCACAGAATCAATTATCAATGTATATATGTGGCCCCACTGTGTGCATAATTATGGCACAGGCATTCAAATCCTTTACAACCATGAAATAGAGCAGGACTATTGACACAAATGGCTTGGCTTCCTCTGGCTGGATTGGATCCACACTTTTCTCCAATTAAGAATTCTCTCCAGTTGGAGCATGTGCTGATGCTTCAGCTGCTTAAACAAATTGTGTGCTGAATAAATGCCAAAAGTGCACTGAATAAATGGCAAAAAAAATGACATATATTGGGTTTCAAACAGCCATATTTGCAGTCTGCATTTTTTAGTTTAAGTTGCTGAAGATTCACTGACAGCATTTCCATTCAGTGGTTACCATGATTGTTTATTAAATGCAAATGTATGCCTTCAAAGTTAATAATGCCAAGGATTGCTCACAAAAAGCTGCTTTTGGCTTGTTTCTTTGGGACCTATTATGCCAACTGCCAATGGTTTTCACCTATCAGTATCCACATACACACAAAAACCCTTCATTGATTGATTTAGATTTGGGTGTTTGTTTTTTTCTGATAAACATGTCATGGAATATACCCCTAACAATATAGTCCAGATAACATTTAAAAGTTCTCTAATATATGAATGATACTACTTTTCTATTGCATTCGTTAATGATCACATTTTATATCCTCTTTATTTTTACTTAGTGATCTGAGTTAACTGTTCTTTATCTTAAATAATTATTTTCAGTTGTGAGTGGAATAACCTTACTGATTCCTCTAGGGAAAGATTTGTGTTTGCATTGTATTCATATTCTGGCAAAGCCCAAGGGACATCTGCTGTGTTTCACTTTGATCCAGTAGCAATATTCATAGTGTGGCTAAGAACCTTACAGGACCTTGTGCCTTTTATATCAGTACATTTAAGATGTTTAATGGAAACGATGTTTAAGTAGAAAAAGTAGGAAACTACCTGTTTCAGAAGAATGGAATTAGCAGAGAGTAGGATTGCTTTGGACAAATTTCATTAAATTTGAATTCATTCATAACTTTTAAAAAATGCTGGTACAAAACCATTGATTGGCCATGCTTCACAAAAAATGTTTCAAGTCACAATTTGAGTAAAAGTTGCTATTTCAAAGTAAATTTCTTAGAGGAGAAAAATAAGAATTGGGAAAGGATAGAGGTTTAGAAATAAGAGATAATGTTAGTCTCTTTCATATAACTCTTAATGAGGGAACATAATCACACAAGGCAATTTAGAAGGCTCTTCTGAAACAACAAAGGAAGAGAAAACTATGGATTTGTTTTTCATCAGAGTGGTAAGTGAAATTCAAATTTAGTTTTATCAAAGAGATTCAATGTATCACTCAAAGAAATATCATTTTGTTTCAGGCCCATTTATAGCCACTTTAAAAAAAAATTCTGCAGAATCTTTGGAGGCAACTTCTGCTAACTTCAAATCAATGGTTTGTTTCTGTATCAACCTCCAGAAAGAGAAGAGAGATAGGGGAGCCACTTTACTGAAATGAGGCAAGACTGAAATAAATAATGTATGTGCAGACTCTTCCTCAAAAGTGTAGACTTGGCTACAACAGAGTTATGCAATGTGAATTTGATACTAGTGTAGTGTAGTTTTGCAGCAAGATTAGGATTAAACAAATTCTAAGACTGGGAGGGCAGGACTATAGAGTTTCTAGTACTAGGGGATCAGAGATTTTTTTCCTGTTTCCAACTTTGAAAGTGACAGAAACAATGCAATTAGGGGCAATGAAAAGGGTTTCTACTTCATGCCAGTAGAAGTTTTATTCCTATTGCTAATTGTGACCTGCACCATCTTCATTGGAGGGGGTGGAATGGAATACTTTCCAGAAAGTGGAATTTTTCTGCCAAGCACTTAGAATAGGTGAGAGAAGAAATTGGGTTTACTTGCAAATCAGCTTTTTAGAGGCAGGACTAAATCATATACTGTGATATTTTTATTTAAGAGGAAAGGTCCAACTTTTTTTTGTAAAAGAAACTTTCTATGAAAGGAAGGTTAAAATATAATTTTATTTATTTATTTTATTTATTATTTATTATAATTGTTATATGAAGAGCCAGAAAGTTTATAATAAAACATTCTTCCATCTTTTGCAAGACGGCTGTACAGTCTTTATATAGCACTAACCAGAAGACCTAATTCTCATCAAATTTAGGCTTGCTAGGTTACCATAAACTGATAGTTTTGAAGGTAGCACTGCAGCAACCGGAATAGGCTAAAGCAAGCAGCTTCGCAGCTGTTCAGAGGAGAAAGCTGTGGATCTGCCCAGTGACAGAAAGATAGAAAGAGGCAAGGATTAGCAGCTGAGAAAGGTACTATCTGTATGTATGAGATCCTAACCTAACATATCCCCCAAACTTAGGCTCTAACAAAAACCAAAACTTAATCCTTTAATCAGATTCTGGTCATTTTTTACAATGCATAGATATATATATGTTCTAGTTCGCCGGCAGCAGGTGCAGATGGTAGCAGTCTCTGAAAGCGAGGACTTGGATGAGGGGCCTGTGTGTGATGCAGGGATGGGGCCAGATGGAGAGTGGGGTGCTGCCTTCAGTGGTTGTGGAGTCTGGCAGCAGTGGGCATACAAAACCAATACTAGACCAATACTCAAATATTGCTCATCTGTCTGGAATCCGCACTGTATATTGGACATTAATACAATTGAGCGAGTCCAGAAGCATTTCATGAGAAGAGTACTACACTCCTCTGTTCTCAATAGAATACTCTATACCACCAGGCTTGAAATTTTGGGCTTGGACAATCTTGAACTACTCCGCCTACGGTTGGACTTAAACGTAGCACACAAAATTATCTGTTACAATGTCCTACCAGTCAATGACTACTTCAGCTTCAACCGCAACAATACAAGAGCACACAACAGATACAAACTGAATGTTAACCACTCCAAACTTGATTGCAGAAAGTACAACTTCAACAACAGAGTGGTCAATGCCTGGAATGCACTACCTGACTCTGTTGTTACATCCTCAAACCCCAACTCCTTCAACCTCAAACTATCCACTACTGACCTCACCCCATTCCTAAGAGGTCTGTAAGTGCACCATCTGTAAGTGCACTGTTCATAAGTGTACCATCGTGCCTACCGTCCTTGTCCTATTGTCCCCATTTATTTGTACCTATTTCCTATATTCTTATTCATGTTTATACTTATACCTATTATCTTATAAGCGATTGACAAATCAAATAAATGAAAATTAAATAAATAAATAATTTAGTAAAGCATATACTTTAGTACTAGAAACTGGATTTATATTTATTTAGGGCATTTTAAAAATGATTGGGGAAAAATGTTTCAGTGGATGGCTATAATTCTGCTGTAAAACATATGGATCTGCTTAAGACATTATTGAAAATTTCCCATCTCCATTCATGGAGGGTTTCCATGTTTCATTTCTTTTGCATGAAAGAAACCTTACATTAAAAAGTAAAACACCATGAGCAAATCAACACTTACCTAAACTAAGGAAATAAACAATGAATTATCTTATATTTTTAAATTAGATCCCCTCACTCAGAATGTTGCCAATTCAAGCTCAATACCAGCTCAGAAATTCTTGTTCTTAAAATGACTTTAAACTACTGTTTTTTTCTAATTATCTAGATTCTAGAATTGTTGCTGGAGGTATTTCCGGAAATTAGTAATGGATTTCAGAATATTATTTAATGAAACATTAAGTACAGGTATAGTAAAAAAACAAAACAACAACCTCAAAATGGTAGTCATCATTATGCAATTGAAGCTATGCCTAGTTTTATATGCATTGACCCCTTATTTGTTTACTTAAATATTACCTCTACTCTTTATCCACTCAGGAATTCAGCCTGGTGTGCCAAGTATCAATTAACCCGTTGATAACTTTTTTAACTTTTATAAACTTTATTTAATTATCAAATTAAAATGTCAGAATAAATCACATTGTGGCTTAGCTCTAGGAAGACCATAATCTAGGCACCAGACAAGCATCTTTAGGGGAGTTACTTAACAACATCAAGTAGAGATATAGTATATGTCAAAACAAAGAAAAATAACTTAGCAAACATTGTATTTCTTTAGTAATCAGACTATATTCTCCAGAAGCCCTACAGTTAACTAGACAAAAATTCAGAATACCAAGGCTAATTGTTATTTTGATTTCTCATATCCTCTTTTTCTTATTCATCAGGTACAATCAAAGACTAATTTGATCATAATAAGCTATAATGTATATATTTGTATGAGTGGATGATTTAGTTTTCATAAAACATATTAAACATTTTGTTGTCATTTAGTCATATTTGAACCAACCATCATAATAGAACCATCACCAACTCCAGTTGAAATACTTATCTCATAATTTTGAGGCTTTATTTGGAATTAATCAGTTGCTCATTGAGAAAAGTATTTTTAAAGGCTACAGTCCTGAGGATCAACAACATATTTCAGTCATCTATTATTGAATTTCTGCTGTACAGCAATGATGGTATTCTACTGGTTTGGCCTGGTTCTGCTGAGCCGTTAGCAGCAGAGACCGAACTGGTTCTCTCTGCCCCTCTGCTGTTGGGTCCACCCGCTGGCCCGGGCTTTTATACTCACCTTTATCTTCTGTTTTTGAAGCGCAGCTGCTTTGCGTGCTTTGAGTGCTCGCGGCAGCTGCTTAAGTGACCAGGAGAGTGCAGGCTTGCAGGAGCTTAGTTGGAATGCCTCTGTGCCTGTGCAAACTGCGCATTTGGCATGCGCGTGCATGCAAAGTATATGCATGTGCGCAAAGTGCACCCACCAAGCCACGCCCACCAAGCTGGTGATAAAACTTTTTGAATCCCATCACTGCTATACAGTGCAGTGGAAAAGGAAACATTACTGGCAAAAATGCAGATATTCTGCATAATTTTCTCATTAAATTGTGTGTGAGAGTCTGTGTAAGAACAATGTAGAATTAGAACTGTTTTTTAAAAATTATTCTTTGTTTTGCATGTGAATTATTCTTCACATGCATAACAAAAATTGCACAACTACAAGAAGGAGGCACATTTGCCACTTAGATTCTGCTGAACTTCTGCACCCAGGAAATCTTGAAGGATATAATTTGCCTATCCTTCTACTGCCGAGTTACATCATTTGTATTAACTGACTTTCTATATAATTAAATGGTCTGGAAATTAAAGGATGATTTTCTTCAGGTATTTTCCTATATTCCCAGGTATACACTCCACCAGCATAACCCCAACCCCCAAAAGCAATATCTAGTTGATGTAAGGTAAATAAATCCAACATTCTTTATCAGGTTTTTGCATACACAGTATGTATAATTATATCAATCACATCTCAGTTCCTAAGAAAATTCAGTTCCTGGGTGCTAAATATAGTGCTTTTTCTGTCCTCAGTTTGCTAAAATCAAAATAATCATATGGCTAACTATATAAATGTTCTAAAAATTACCCTTTGACCACTGCCTACTTTTAAATATGTTTGTTTATTATGAAATTTATTTTACCATATTTATGGTGAATATGTTAGCATTTTTTTCAGATAATTTATTATATAATGACACTTAATTGGCCAAGTACTTTTAATGCTCCTTCCACATTCTTAACTGTCATCATCCATCATATAAAGACAAGATCCTGCTTCCAATTCTCTGTGAATTAAATCAGTAAAAGAGCAGGTGAACGGAGGCAAAAAAGCAACAGCCATACTTACAGCAAACAGAGGGCGTAAGCTGAAGAGACAGACTCACTGGCCCGGACCAGAAAACTTCCATCCTTGCCTACTTTAGAAAGTAAGTCCTCAGCTTTTGAACGAGTGATGCTTCCATGGTACCAGCACTGATCCATGCCTTGGATTTAAAAAAGAGAAAACCCAACATAAAAAATAAAACTTAGATTGAAGAAACATTAACTACTCAGCAGTTAAGAAAAGATCCCAAAGCTGTCTGTTCACAGAGCTCAGCAGCTGCTTGCAACTCACTCAGCTTCCTGTTTAATGGTGCTGAGAGAGAAAGGAAACAGAGCAGAGAACTTCCTCATACAAATTAAGCCAAATGAAATGGGCCAACCACACACACCTCCCCATTCACTCTCTCAATGCAACTCTACGGTACTGCCTTCACCAAGTAGTTGGGATTCCATCTTAGTTCTTCCTTTCAACTTTGAAGAAATTTGAAAGAATTAACTTATTGTGACTCCCATTGCCCCTAAATGAAATTGTCATTAATAAAACATGAGTCTAATTTCTTCATTTCTTCTGCTTCTGTTTTCCTTGCTCCTCATCTATTATATCTGACTTACAGTAGGAATTTTCATACAGCAAGAGGAGAGGAAAATGAGTAAGTCTCCAGGGATATTAATAGGAGCTAATTGTGGCTAGTGATTCTTGATTGTGCTGAAAGAGTTTAACCTGCTGGTAAAGGACAGACTATCTTTGAATATCTTAGGATGTTCTGGCTTCTGTGCTAACTTTAGATTATCCCAAATAATGGATCAATACTTGGATGATAAGAAAAGAAAAAGAAAAACCCTGACTCTGCACTTGTGGGAAATGCCAGCAATAAGTGTCCTAGTATTTATGACAGAATGAATGTAGTCTCTGATATATGTCAATTAGACTGAAGCATTTTCTCTGGTGTTGAGAATCCATGAATCTCTTCCTTCAATAATTGGGCTGGTTCCCACTCCCTTTGCCTTTATAACTGCAGCAAACATACATGCCCTTTGCTAAAACTTTGATTAGCAACTGATTTTTGTACAGATTTTTCCCTTATGCTGCTGAACTTGGTTTGTTTTGTATTTCTCATTTTAAGTATTGTTAGCTGTCTTGAGAGCTCAAATGGAGTAGAAAAATAGGATAAAATAGCTGAAGAAGCTTCTTGGATGAGAAGTGAAACGTATTCAAAGAAAAGCTAGAAAGTCCCGCTGCCACTTGAAAAAGAGGCAACTTTGGGACAACTATGACCTGGATGACTGAGAATCTCCATAGACCAGGGGTGGGCAAACTACGGCCCGTGGGCCACATCCGGCCCGTTGGTCTTTTTAATCCGGCCCGCCGAAGATTGGTACAGAATTAAGGTTTGATGTGAATGATTGAATGATTGCATTCATTTGATTTTGACTTGTAATGATAGGCATTTCGACACCAGGTGGCGGCCCGTCTGTCAAATTTTAAAAGTCAATGAGGCCCCCGAGCCAAAAAGTTTGCCCACCCCTGCCATAGACATAGGATAAAATAATATTAAAAAGGCATATGATATTTTTTTACTGGGTTCCTGGCAGTATTCATATCTCCACATCTCCAAATGTGTGGTCTAAAATTTCCTGTAAAACCTTTTCTCTCTAATCTAGAGGAAGCTATGGTGTTGTCCTCAGCAATTCACAAGGCAAGTTGGGCTGTATATCTGTCATTGCCTCTGATTTGCTGACATGTGAAGAATAGCAGGTTGACCAAAGCTCTTGCTCCAGTGTTTCTCCTCCATTGCAGCATCCCTTTGTTTTACAAACGACCTCAAAGGGTTTTAGCAGTAGGCCAGATTATTTAGGTGCCAAGATAACTACTATAGATTATTTTTGGAACATTGCGCGATGATGGAAGTTAGAAAGATATTTCCCTCCTGTTGCCATTGAGCTGGAAATGTGCCCTCCAGCAAAATTCTTTCCAACTCAGTGGAATGTTGGAAAGAAACTATAAAGAGCTGTTGGGGCTCTGACTGTCTGCAACAATAATTTTCTGCAACTCAACAGAATAGAGCCAAATTTGGTATGGAGGGAGAAACTGGCAAACAAAAGGTTGAGTTAATACTGGTCTGGGTCAAGCCAGGACCCCACCGAAGGCAAAGGAAGCTAGGGGGCTGAACCATTCCTCCAATACCTCCCCTGGGAACAGACTCCAAGTGTTGTGACTGCTCCATTCTAAGCCTCTTCTCATTCTTCCTTCCTGGTCATGTGACTGAGAGCAGAGCAGCCCCATGCTTTCCAATGAATACATGCAAACACAAACAGATGGAATATAAGAAAAAGAAGGAACAAACTCAGAGAGAGATAACATAGAAGAAAATACAAATAACTCCTATGGCCATTCTTGGTAAAGACTTGGAAAGATTCTCAGAAGCCATAACTGTGTAGTTTCCCCATCTTCTTCCAAATTATGCAAAATTTGGTGTACTTAATGGGTCCCTTTACAATTTGGTTAATGTGGCTCAAAGTAAAGATGGAAAGGGCAACCAACCACTTACTGTATGTTTCCTGGCTTGAGGAAAGAATTTCTCACAATGAGTTAAATACTATGAAGAATGCAAATAAGACTTCTTAATTTTTTGAGCGATCAGATGCATCATAGATTTTGGATAAGGTTCAAGTACAGATTGAGTTGGTAACATAAACTTTGGTTGATGTTTATCTAAAGGCTGAGATCAAAGTCTGAGCCTTATTAATTCTCTTGCATTTGTTCCCAGACTTTCAGAGCTACAAATTAAGAACAAGATTTGGGTGAGATTCTTTACAAATGAGTTCCACAGTGTACAGTGTGTCTGTGGGATGTGGGGAGCTTGTGCTATATTTGGTAAGAAAGCTAACAGGTCAATAATATTTGCATAACTGTAAAATCTGTGGTTTCCTGTCTTCAGTGGATAGCAACTACACTAAAGACACTGTCCTAAGTTTCAAGTAGGGGTTGCAAAACATGGAGTAAAATTAATTTTAAAAACATTGAATGGTTGTGTTTTGCATCACCACTTTATATTCAAAGAACTGTATGTTCTATAAAATGTTTTCTAAACATCTGTTCAGGCACAACAAGAAGGAACCTTATTATTATTCTGCATCTTGAGAATAAGAAAAAGATATGTCATCTCAAGAAGTCTTGCGGTTGCTGTTTCTATAAATTCAATACTATAAAGCAGTATCAGGTAGCAACATAGGCCAGTGAGACAAAGTTCCATAAGGCATGGAGTGAGAATACATAAAGAGCTAAATAATAGAGCTCTGAAACAAACAGGTATATTGATGTTTAAGATCTACAATCATCTACCGTAGGGTGGTTATGTCCAGGGGTGGGATTCAACTGGTGTTATTACTGGTTCGGTGATTACATTTTGCGCCCGCATGTGCACTTTGTGCGTGTGCGCGTGTAAAATAACCTTAGGCTGTGCCGCCCAGACAGCTGAAAAATGCTACATGCAGGTGCGCAGCATTCAAAAAGCCTCTTTTTCCCTGCTTTTTCAATCTCAGTTGTGCCGTGCAAAGCAGCTGAAGTTGAAAAAGCAGGAAATAAAGGACAGGTAAGAGTCTGGGTGGGCAACTGGGCCAAACAGCAGCAAACACAGAACTGGTTCTGTGTCTGCTGCTCTTCAGAGCTACTGGCTCTATAGAACCGGGCACAACCGATAGCATCCTACCCCTGATCATGTCCATAATCACATAAAGGAATTTTGCAAACTGATGTTAAAGATATAAATGGTCTATCTGTTCAGCTTTCTGAGTTGGAATTTCATTAAGTTTTATGCTGTCCTGAAAGTAACATTGCTGCTGGCAAAGCTGGGAAATATGATTCCAGCATATCATATTGTGACACTTTCATGACGCTTTACATAGCCACTTATACTAAATAATTCTGTTCCATCTCATTGTCATATTAACTTTCTTATTCTCTAATAACTTCTTGCTTTATAGACGGCTTATGGCAGGTGTTTATATTATCATGTAATCAGTGAAATACATGCAATATTTCAAACACCTCCTATAATTAAACAACTCTCCATTGGCCCATGAGACTTTATCCCATTGAAGAATGGATATGATGTTATATTAACTAGCATATGTTCGGTGGAGTACTAGCAAATAAGGTAGACTTTGAATTATTTAACTTGTATGGACTTTTCCTGCTGCAATGCTAAGAAGTTGCATTTCAAGGGAAATAGATGTAATGATATAAATTAGGAAAGATTTCTCAAGAAACCATGTGTTGCCAAACCTGCCAATTTTTTAAATACTGATGCCCTTACTTTAGAAGATATACCAAATAAAATAAACAAACAAACATATAACATCAGATACTTTCTTCCTAGACTTCTATTAATAATTTCACTGTACCTTGCTGGAACTACAAAGAGTAGTTATTTTTTTTCAGTGGTTCCTAAGTTGAGACCTACAAAAAGAGGCAAAACTGATGGCCCAGAAGAAAAATATAAACTATCCAAAAGCTTGCAAATGGAAAGCAGATGAGACTATCCCATCATTCCAAGAAATCCATACAAAGTCATATATAGGAGTTCATGTCTCTGTGGAGCAATCCTTTCTGTCATACGTTTTAGCTGATTAACCCAATATCAGCATTTACTATTTATTTATTTTTAAATTTTTATTTATTTATTTATTCATTATATTTCTACACCACCCATCTTACCAAATGACTCTGGATGGATTATAACAACATGATAAAACAATTTAAATATTTGAATAAATCACACAGAGTTATTCTGCAAAGAGTAGAGGAGTGGAGAACTCTTCTTGTGAAGTCCAGAAATATTTCACAGGAAGAGTTCTCCACTCCTCTATTCGTTGCAGAATACCTTATGTCACCAGACTTGAAATTCTAGACCTAGAAAACCTAGAACTACGCCGCCTTTGGTCCGATCTAAGTGTAGTATATAAAACCATACATTGCAATGTCCTACCTGTCAATGAATACTTCAGCTTCAACCATAACAACACAGGAGCACACAATAGATACAAACTCAAGTTAATCGCACCAAACTTGATTGCAGGAAATACGACTTCAGCAACAGAGTGGTCAATGTCTGGAATACTCTACCTGACTCTGTGGTTTCTTCCCCAAACCCCCAAAACTTTAGCCTTAGACTGTCTACTATTGACCTCACCCCTTTCCTAAGAGGTCTGTAGGGGGCGTGCATAAGCGCACCAACGTGCCTATCGTCCCTGTCCTATTGTTTCTTTTA